TAACGCTATCTTTCTGTATATATATATATATATATATATATATATATATATATATATATATATATATATTATTTTTTTTTATGGGTTTTGTTAACAGGATTTTATGAATTTTCATCTACACTGGAAAAAAAAGATGCTTAAAACAAGTAAAAACAAACTAAAATATATATTGTGAAAATATGTGTTATTTGAGAATTGTTGTGTACGGGTGTTTATACAGTTTATACAAGATGATAAAACAAAACAAAAAATCTAAATCAGAAGTGTTAATATTTTAATGCTTTTTACACTGCAAAGGACAATGCAGCTGTAATACCAGTTTCACTTTTTCATAGTCCACTGATGGCCTGTCACATCCTGTAAAGGTTTAAGATTTTGCTGATGACTTGTGTTTCAAAGCTTTCATAGGGTCGGTCACGCTCTGTGTGCTTGGATATGGATACATTAAGCATTAGCCATTAACACCCCTTATGTGGGTCTTGTAAATTGTGCTTTGAAACCGGATAACCTGTCAGGAACCAAGTTTGCAAGAGCCTGACCATGTGTCAGCAAAGTTAGCAGCAACAGGAAAGAAATTATAAGAGAGCGAACCTAAATAGCCAAAGCCAAATATGGGAAGTTTTAGAAAGTAGGGAAGTCAAACCTTGAAGTTTATAATTAAAGGGACAGTTCACCCAAAAATGAAATTTGTCATCGTTTACTCAGCCTCATGTCATTCTAAACCTGTATGATTTTCAAAGTATGAACAGAAAACACAACAGAACGTCATTTGGTTACCAAATGATGATAAAGGTTAACCAAATGAGGTGTTACTCCTATTTCACTAGTAAAAGATCACCATACTGTTCATAATCATAGTAATGTAGGAAAGCAATCGAAACAAATAGCACTTAAATTGACAATCATTTGATTTGAAGTTTACTCATATGAATATTTACTTCATATGAATGCTGTGCACTAAACTGGCTGTAGTACTTAGTTTTGTTATTTGACTCTGAAACATCATGTACAGCACCAATGGATGCTTTCAGTGGTTTAAAGGAATAGTTCACCCAAACATGAAAATATGCTGACAATTTACACACCCTGAGGCTGTCCAAGATGAAGATGAGATTTTTCTTCATCTGAACAGTTTTGGAGAAATGTAGCATTACATCACTTGCTCACCAATGGATCCTCTGCAGTGAATGGGTGCCGTCAGAATGAGAGTCCAAACAGCTGATAAAAACATCACATTAATCCACAAGCAATCCACGTGACTCCAGTCCATCAATTAACATCTTGTGAAATTAAAAGCTCCATGTTTATAATAAACAAATCCATCGCCAAGACATTTTTAACTTCAAACCGCTGCTTCAATCCAAAATATGAGTCAATTTTTTGGCCAGATAATGTTTCCTCCAGTGAAAATGTCCATTCCCTGTTGTCCTCTCACATCAAAATCCATTGACATGGATATGTTTAGAACTGTTTAGGCTTGTAAGTGGTGCTTGAGCTGTGCATATTTCTCTCCTGATTCAGACGAGATGACTGTTCAGTGTTCACTATAGAAAGCAATAGATAGAGGACTTGTAGTATTTTGGCCAGAAGCAATGGTTTGAAGTTAAAAATGCCTTAATTTTTCTTTCTTCTTCATCTTCTTCTTTATTTTTAACGGCTGTTGGCATCCAGTTTATCGAAATGGCTGATTTTGATTACATTTTCTTAAACCAGATTAAAGGAATTAACATTTAAAAGTCTGAGGTCAATAGGATTTTTTAAGGAAATTAATACTTTTATTCCGCAAGGATGCTTTAAAATGATCGAAAGTGACACTAAAGGCAGCACAGGTGTTTTCAACATTGATTATAATAAGAAATGTTTCTTTAGCATCAATACGCATATTAGAATGATTTCGGAAGGATCATGTGACACTGAAGACTGGAGTTAATAGAAAACAGTTATTTAAAATTGTAATAATATTTCACAATATTACGGTTTTACTGTACTTTTGATGAAATAAATGCAGCCTTGGTGAGCACAATAGACTTCTTTCAAACACATTTTAAAAATCGTACTGACCTCAACCTTTTGAATGGTAGTGTATACTAGACGCCCCCCCCCCCAAAACCCCTGAGCAGATGTTTTCAATTCTGAAAAAATAGACCTATACATCTAGAGACCGTATTATCATCAGAGACTTGGGCTAGTAAGCAATGGCCTAGCAACCACATGCTTCAACGTGAACTTGGTTTGCTATGACTCCAGTGGCCCGTTGATGTTTGAAGGGACCAGCAGCAGGTTTAAGTAGTCAGTCACACCATGTAAACATCCTATCACAACTAACATAAACCAGCTACCATTTCCCAGATGCTGCTGATGGATTTGAAAAAGACCCTGCCTAAACACAGACCTAAATATCTGGGGCTGGGCTACATCAGTGGTTCTCAACTGGTTTCACTTAAGATCTGGAGGTCAGAACTGTTTATCGTCCAACAGTAAGCTGAAAGGTCCCTGAAGTCAAACATTTTTGTTAATATCACCATGAAATTGGTCAGCACCCAACCCCATATCTGCTGTAACTTGTAGACGCGTTTTATTTAGCTTCGCATACAGTTGTTCAATTGTTTTTTGAAGATTATATCACCTCACACAACCTGACCATGTTGGCATCTGCCTAATTTGACTAGCTTCCACATGACATAAAATTACACAAAACTACTGTACAGTATGCATAGATATCTATCAGATAAGAACCACTGGAATTCATTTTGGATGCTAAGTTGCGGTCATATTTACCTTTGCTCTGAGACATTTTACGTTGCCCACTCACATTTCAGACGTTCTATTAATGTTACAGAACTTTGAAAGAATCTTGCCAAAACATTAGCCAAATTCGTTCCCTGTAATGCCTGGTATGCACTGCACAATTTTAGGCGGTCCCAGATGAAAGATGCCCAACGGGAAACAGTCGTGATGATTTCTTTGGTCATGGCTCATACTTTGTACTGTGAGAGAGGTTCAAAGATGGCTGTTGTCACGGTCTTGTGACCAAAGATAGTGTCAGACCATCTCACAGTGTGTTTGCTGCTACGACTTATGTCTACTGACTAGCCAATAAAAATTCAACATGAAATGACGTATTGATCAACGCAACATGGAGCTAAAGTTTAAATACCATGGAGGCAAAAAGAAGGAGTACTGGTACGTGGAAACCACAATTGCCAAAGTGCGATTTATCTTAACTTTTATCTTAACTTGCGTCATAGCCTACGATTCAATAGGTGTCATCATTGTACAGTCTACATATAGGCCTATGTCGTACCCAAGATTATTAGACCAATATGACGCAGTGTAATGATCTTATCAGATTGCTGAAATCGCACAGTCTACAGACTTAGACTACAGGCCTTAGCTGGGCC